AATGACTCTCTGTACTCATGCAGACTGAAATCCTGGTGCTGTTTAGCAAGCCCAGTGAGAAGAGGGCAGCACAGAGCAGAGCCTGAGTTCTCTGTGGGGGTGGAAAAATCTCCTTGGAAGAAGGGAGGAGAAGATAGTATTTGTGGTCCCATTTCTTCCTCTTCCAACCTAATTGACCAAGCAAACTTAAGCAACCCCAGTGTGCTTAGGAAGTTGAATTGTATTGGGAGCTGGTGATGGTGGGAGGAGACCAATTGCAGACTGGTATTCTTTCTTACTGTGAGTATCTTCAGATACAGAAACATGAGAATTACATGTCAAAATGGAGGATGGAAAGGAGAGGAGATAGGAATGCCTTGAGCTTTGGCGTAACTTGCTGAGTACTAATTCTTCTTCTTCTTTTTCCCTTTTTTTTTTTTTTTAGTGGTGCTAGGGATTGAACCCAGGGCCTTGTGCATGCTAGGCAAGCACTCTACCAACTGAGTTATAGCTCCAGCTCAGTAATAATTCTTAATTGTTTAGAGATGATCAGACTCAGGCTTGTAGGAAATGTTGACTTACTTGGTCTCCGAGTTTCAAAAGTGACACCAAGGTGCTTGCTACTTTTACTGCAGTTTCTAATGAGCTAAGTTATACAGTTATACCTTAAGTTATATGGTTTTAGAGATTTTCTGCCAGGGTTACATTTGTGTGTAGATACACACAAGAGCATGAGAAATTTCATGGATTGTCAGATGTGTTTCTGCTGGGATGGACCCAGTTACTGAAAGTGAGTTTTCATCTTTTGCTTGTTTAATTATATAATGGGAAAAGTTAATGACTTTATTACTCTGTACTAGAATATCTTGAGGCAGTTAAATTCTTTGATTTGTCTTAACACTATGTGCATTGACTGATGTCTTTATTAAGTTAATTTTTAAGCACTTACCTATCTGTAGCACTCTCTGGACAATTATAAACTATATTTAAAAGTTTCATTATGTTTAATTTCTAGTTTTTTTCTGGTCTATATGTTAGTTTGTAATTTGAGAATTTTCAACATTACTGAGTATTATAAAGGCTATGGGTCGTGTGCTAGGTTTTTTTTTTTTTTTTGTAGCATTAGTACAAAATATCTTCAGCATGCCAGTTGCACATTGTTGCTGGGAATATGTAAAACTGATGATAAATAAGTTGTAAGAGTCTGTCTTAATAGAAAATCTTCTGGCGCAATCCGTTGAAAATTTTTCTAAGTACCTTTACCTGATTCTAAACTCAACCTGAACCAAACATTGTAATTTTACCTGAGTTAACTACTCTCTCCTCTGGGCCCTCCTTTGGGACATGTACACATTTCCCTCTCAACACAGAATTTTGGGATAATCTATTTGTTTGCAAGCTTTTCTCCTGTATTAGATTATGACTGGATTATGAGTTCTTTTTGAAAAGGCTCTAACCCCTGTATCACCAGAGCCTAGCACAATTCCTTACTCTAGAATAAGACCAAAGGAAGGCAGATAACTGTATTGAGCATCTAGAACAGCACCTGGCTTGTGGATAATCTCTGAATGCATATTAATTGAATGAGTGAGCCAGTGTCAATAATTGGTGCTCAGTAAACATGTGTTGAGCTAATAAATTAGTCTATACTTGTGCAATTTGTTTCATAGGTGAAAACCATATTGTTCAATAATCCAGATGCAGCAACTGCATAAAGGGTTCATTACCTGGATTTGCTTTTTAATAATCCAGGTGCAGCAACTGCATAAGGGGTTCATTACCTGGATTTGCTTTTTAAGGTAATCCTGCCTCCCAACTCAAGAACACTGAAAACCTGATAGAAAACAGCACTGAAAGTTAAAAAAAATGCTGCCAAATTATTATTTGATGAGAGAAAAGAAATTAAGAAATAGAAGGCACTTTTTGATAAAACTTATTTTTAATCCTGTACATTTCAGTATACTATTTGTGGATGTGGACCATGCTTTTATTTTTTGTGCTGTTAGGAAATGTTACTCAAAAGCCCCTTATAAATTTGTTATAGTTTTCATATCTTATAACTTTTCTGTTTAGGCTGATCTCCTATTTGGGGCATGTTAACTTTACTAATGGATCACAAATCATTTTAGGGAACTCAGAAACCTACTACTAGGTCTTCTTACTTGCTTTCTTTTTGCAATAATGGATGGACATTCATGTTTTCATCTGCCTGCAAAAGAAATCTGATAGTTGAAAAAGTAATTCATAATGCAATCATGATTCTTTCAAAAATAAATGAGCCATTGTTATTTGAACCATCATGGAAAACAAAACAAAACAAAACAATAAAATAAAATAATCAAACATAACCTACCTGTGCTGCCTCATCCATGTCTCACTGGATTGTGCTCTCTGCCAAGATGGGAACAAGAGGCGTGAGGCAGCGGTTGAAATGTCCACAGAGGGACATACATGTAAGAGGCAGATGTTGGCACGATGCCAGAGCTGCTAACTCCTTACAACATGATTGTAGGAGGTGGGTCTAGCTTTAACTTGTTCTCCAGAGCTGAAGTTTTTGCATTCTGTTATGTAAGCACATATTGTTTGCCTTGATTGGAGAGAGAGCAGTCAGGACAGTTTCTTCCAAATGGTTTCTTTTTGCCCATTGCATGATTTTCCCCATTCTGATTGCTCATCCTTGATAAGGTAAATCCTTGATTTACTGTTCCCTTTTTTTTTCCCCCCCAGTACTGGGGATTGAACTCAGGGGCACTTGACCCCTGAGCCACATCCCCAGCCCTATTTTGTATTTTATTTAGAGACAGGGTCTCACTGAGTTGCTTAGTGCCTTGTTGCTGAGGCTGCCTTTGAACTTGTTATCCTCCTGCCTCAGCCTCCTGAGCAGCTAGAATTACAGGTGTGTGCCACGGTGCCCAACATTTTCCCTTTCCTCTTTCTTTTTTTCCTATCTTTTCCAGGATCTTTCATCTCCCCTTCCACATGTTTAAAATGAGTGTTGACCTTGATCCTTGGGCCCCTCCCCTTTCTAATCTGCTCCATAGGGGCCCCATGGGAGCAGAGTGTGTGGAATCAGATGAGAAGCAGAGTCAAATTGCAATGCAACTCAGGCCTGGGACCCTCCAAACTGCAGCCTGGGTAGTGAATTAGTTAATTTTGGGTGCCAGATGAACTTGAAGTGTTCTAGAGACACGATCATGAGTATTTGTTTAGGAAACTTTTAAACTAAATTTAAAAATGCCATCAAGTGGAGGCTTCATATAACTTTTCAGTTACATAATTGTGGCTATCTTTAAAATTTTCCTTCACTCCTTTACATGAGCTCTATAAGATGAAGTGCTGCTAAGTGCTTCCCCAGCACTTAGAACAGGGCCTGGCACATTGCTCAATAAATATTTGCTCAGTAAATATTTGTTGAATGGATGAGTGACATAATGCTTCTATAATCCTCTCGGGTTGAATGGAAGGCAGAATTTGTCATTTGAGGGGCCTGAATTGCAACCCTGGCCCTACTTCTTACAGCCTCTTATAATGCCTAACCTCTCTGGGCCTGTTACCTCATATGTCTAATAGAATATCTGCAAAGTCTTTATAGTAAAATGATAAAAAGGTTTTGGATGGATTCTGCTATGATCTGAGTGTTTATGTCCCTCCAAAATTCATGTTAAAATCTAATCCCCAATGACTGCTTCTTAAGAGGTGGAGCCCTGAGGATGTCACTAGGCCACAACAGCAGAGCCCTTGTAAATGGGATTAATGCCTTTACAAAAGAGCCCAGAGGGAGCTGTTCACCCCCTTCCACATGTGAGGACAGTGAGAAAGCACCATCTCTGGAACAGAGCTCTCACCAAATACTGAATCTGCTGGCAAATTGACCTTGAATTTCCCAGCTCCCAGAACAGGGAGAAATAAATTTCTGTTGTTTATAAATTATCCAGCCTAAAATATTTTGTTCTAGTAGCCCACATGGACTAAAACAAACCTTTTGTGGCTGTCTGTCCACTTCTTATATTAATGCTAGTTTTTCACCATATTTTCCTTCATTCCTTCAGTTGTGGCTGCCTTCTTTATGTGAGGGTCCAAGTTTAAGTAGAGAAGGAATTGCCTCTTTTTGCAGTGGTCATTCTTTTTCATTATAAAATCTCCGGAAACGAAAAGCACAACTGTACAGCTCATGGGCCTTAAGTTTAGCATAGCATTGTCAAGTAGCTGCAGCTGAACTGCTGAGAAGGGACAAAAGAAGCCTTCAAGTCTCTGCTTCCCACAGGGTCAGCAGTGGTGTAATGTGGGAGATGTGAGGCGCAAGGTGGGAGGGTGGGAGGACGTGGGGGGGGGGGGAGACACTTGAGAAGCAGACAACTTCAAACAAACTGGACCCCCTGAGAAGAAATTGACCACTCATGCATAGCTCCCTCCCAGCCCCTGGTACTGAAAAGACAAGACGGGAGACAAAGAATAGGTAGAACAGGATGTAAAGTTTATATACAAGAATATAATGTTTATCTGAAATATTTACAGGGTTGGTTAAAGCAATATTTTTACAACTTTTTCAGGTCAACTACTATGTATATTACAGGTAAGCTACAATGGTTTAATTTGCAAAAATTAAGTAAAAAATGTTTTAAACACAGCTTAAAGTACTCAAGTCAATAATAAAATTTCTTTACTTTGTCCTTTATTTGAAGAGATCATACTATGAAGAATGGTTAATGTGCTTTTTATAAATGGAAAGTCTGCAGCTGGAATGTGATACATGCAACAATCTGACGTTCCCAATGAGGGTGTAAATTGACAAATGAATCGTTGTTAAGACTTAGATGCTGAGTCCCAGGCTGGAGCCCGGGAAGATGTTGAGATAACAGCCAGCTTTATCTCAACCAAGTGTGAACCACAAGTTTGGGCCACAGTTTGCATGCTACGGCAACATCTGTGGAAAGTTGTTTCCCACCAAATAGCGGGAAACAAATCAGACCCAAGTCACAGTCGGACCTATTCAAAAACTAGCCTTGAATTGAACTGTTTTAAACCTTCATAAAAATATTCATAATTTTATTAGTTTGAACATTTCCACATGATCTGGGGGGTTTTCCCTTATGTGAGAGCATCTATCCACTCCCAGGCCTCCCAGGGCCTGGTGACTCGGGAATGCTGGGATGCAACGTGCAAAAGGCAGCTGGGGCTGGAGCAGGGGGCTGTGCTTGGGAGACAGGAAGTGACATCCTAGAGCGGAAGTGGTCAGCTGGGCTCTGGAGCTGACCGGTCAGGAGCCAAGCGGATTCCGGAACTAGCACTGCAGCTTGCGGATGCTGCGGGAGATGCGCTTGAACTCTCTCTGCCCCTTCTGCCACCGCTTCACGGAGGTGATCACCAGCTCCCCGCCCTGTTTCTGTCCCATGACGAGATAGGGCGCGTTGATGTCGTTCATCTCCTCACAGGTGCACTGCAAGCTGTCTTTGAGCCACAGCACGGATTTCTTCAGGTCCCTTTCGGACACACCGTTCAGCTTGTAAATGGTCTTGCTCTTGGTCTCCAGGATGATCTTGGTATCTCTGTTGATGTAGGTTATCTCCTTCACTTTTATTTTCAGCGCTGTGAGGATGAGAGGGGGCAGAAGGAATCACACCAGTTACCACGAGACCAACAGTATAGGCTGGGAACTTTGTGCACTCTGTCCAGCGGCATGTGTGTGAGCAAAGAGGAGCTTCCTAGAACTAATAAGACTGTCAGGGGTTGCAGGTAGGGGGTTGGGAGCTGGGGGCAGCAGGTGGCTCCATTTCTAAAGCCTCAAAGCGTTTGCCAGGCACTTTGTTTCAAATCAGCCACCCTTTCCAAATGCTTTCTCTTTGCAGGACTCAATTAACTTTTCTCCTGGTTTCCTCGCTCGCCCTTGTGTTTGTAAGTAGGTTGCATGTGGTTCCTGCTCGCCCCAACAAATGACTTCCCCTATTGGAAACTTCAGCATGAAAAGAAATGCCTGACTCTTAGGTGAAACGTGATCCTTCTGTGGCCGTAAACTTTAAACTCAATTTATTATGTCGGAGAGGTTTTTGGACAAACCTGTAAGGAAATTGTATCACACAATCATTGTTTTCTAAAGAACAGATTACAGGGAAGGAGAATTGATCTTGCAGCTGCATTTGATTTGGTAAAGTAACTAGGAGAAAAAATATGCAAGACGCTTTTTAAGAGCACAACATGTTTAGCCATAAAAGTGTTTTTCTGAAGACCTCATCCTCATATGCTCTCATTTGTCTGTCCAAGGCCAAGGCATTTACAGATCATATATGTACTGTTTCCAAAATGTATATGTAGACCCATTAGAATGTTAAGACCTAACGTAAGTGGTTTACTATAAAAGACACATTTTATAGTCATGAATAGTATGCCTTGGGAAAGAAAAATTCTACAAACATACATGCTGGATTTAAATTTCAAGACTCCACGAAGGCAGGAAAAGGATAAAACTTCAAGGTTGGAAGAGGTCATCCCATTAAGATCTCTTGTTATTACATGAAAAATCTGAAATCCAGAGACTTTAGTGACTGGCACCAGGTTACCCAGTTAGATTGTGTCCCACCTTAGTCTAGTTCTCTTGAGGGAAGGTCAAATTTCCCATCCTGGTTAGAGAGCACTAATTTGCCCAACTACAATGTGTCCTAAGACCCTTGGTGCCACTGACAGCTGTTCTGTATAGGGGACATACAAGTATGACTTCCTGACTTTGATGGGGTTTAATGCATTGTTTAAATTAATAATAGAGGAAGAGTTTTCTTGAGTGTTTATAACTCTTTGAGGGTTTCTCTATCTTTTTTGAAAATCTCAGGGAATTCGACTGAGTATGACTTTCCAGCCAATCAGAAATGAGAAGCTTAACCAGGATGAAATCAAGAATGCTGGATATGCCTCTGAAACAGCACTGAGTTCTCAGACTTTGTGAGACCAAAGTCATGGAAATATCACATGTGGTCTCTGTAAAGCGGGTAGGGCCCTGGAAAGCCCCACCATGAACTGATTACACATTATCCAGGAGCTGCTCTCTAGCACAGATGGAGTGTGTACAAGACTTCACCTGGCCAAATGAAACATTCTTGAGCTGGGAGATCAAAAACCAAATCATCACTTTTAACCAGGAGGAGATTTATTACTCCTCTTCCTGTAGCTATATAATAACCAACTTGGCAAACATGTATCATGGGAAAACATTAGGGGTTTCCTCTTTGCATTTTCAGCTGAGACCAAACATAGGGAATTAAAGCTCCAAAATAACTGTTCCTGCCTTGGAAGATGTGACCAGGGATGTTGGAGTGATGATACCACCCTGCTCAATGATAAGCTAGCTATCTACATATAGATCAGAAGGCAGTTATGAAGTAAGGAGGTGTTCCACATTTTCCCCACGTTTAAGGAGTGCAGAGGGGAAGTTTCTGCTTTCCCAGATGATAAAAAGGGTCAGTAAATCAGATGGCTATGCTTGATCCTTCTACCCATGTCTCCACGAAGAGCAGAAGTAACATGGAACACTGCCTGTAAACTAAAGGTACATGATGCCCTTCCTGAAATTTCACTTCATTATCCCTTAATGGGTCAAAAGGAGAGTGGAGAGATTGTTTTACTAAAATGGTAGTTATCTCTTGTCTTTAATCAAGTCTTACAGCATGGAAACTTAGAACTGTGTTTTGGTAAGGCTCTGGTGGTTTGGGATTATCTGCTGCTAACATGCCTGGCCCCCAGAAAGTTTGCAATTTGTACATATTTGAATGCAGACGTATGAAATCCTATTAGCCCTACCATTTGTGGCTCTTCCTGATGGGAAGGGTTGGTTAAGACTTTGAACTACTTTCTTTCTCTCCTTTTCCTTAACAGGGGGAAACCTTTTCAAAGGTGGGGGCCATGGTTGTTCTGGGACCTGCCAAGGTTAAAACAAGGCTACTTCTGGAAGAGAGCTGGAGATGATGAAGGACAGTGATTGGATTGTTTCCAGAGTCAGGGAGCTGGCTGGGCCCAAGGTTTCAGGGATGGCAAGGGAACGAGAGTGGAAGACTATGAAAACTGGGAGCTGGAATGATGTCCCTCAGTCTCAAGGATTTGTTGAATCAGTGTAAGTGCTAATACAGATCTGTTGAGCTCATTATTGATTGATAGAGCAAGGACTTTAGGACTTTACCTATTTACTAGTAACTTCAGGTTTCTGCCTGAATAAATATTTTTAAGGATACCAGTTACACTAACACAAAAGGTGTTTGCTCTTGGAATAGGATTACAGCCTTAGGAGTCTGGGTGAAGTTCTTGGCCATTTCCAACTCGGATTTTGCACTGCTTCTGGGTCTAGCTGGGCTCCCCCCTCAACTGGGAGGCCTGAGGACCCCAGAGGAGGCACTGGTGGAGTTCTTTGCAGAGGAAGCCTCCCACTTTCTTTCCTCTTCTAATACTCTTTTTAAGGGGAATCACTTAGACTTCATGGAACTTGGGCAACGTATCACATATGTTTTTTATTGGCCTTAAGCACCATGTCATCGTGGCATCTTTCATGTATCTTGCTAAAGTAAATTTCTAAGCTTTCTTCTTCTCTGCCTTTTCCCCCCAACTATTTGCATAAAAGTGTGGCGAATGTGTCTAGACTTACTCATAAAACTTTACAAAAATTTCTTTTAAAAAAGGAATTTAAGATGATAATTGAGGATCATGCAACAGCCCATGTTAGGTGTCTTCTCATGAAGTCCTTCTTTTTAAATTTAAGGATCCTCTCCCCTATAAATAATTGATCAGTGCCTCGGATGTATTCATTAATGATAGAACATAAGAGGAACAAATCACTATGGGTTATAAGTAAAAGTATTTATTTATCTTATTTGTGGCCAACTTAATGCCTCGAATCTTCTTTGCTGAGGATAATATTTGCATTCCAATTGTTGGAACACATGTCAAGAGAAGACAATATGGCTGGGATTATGTTTGTTGGCACAAAAAAAGTCAAAGTGAGTTGAAAAGTGTGCCACTGGATGTTGATGACTTGAGTCATTTTCTTATTTGATTACTGCTTAAGGAAACTGCATCTCACTCAAAAATGTAACTCAGTATATGATTGTGACAACCAAGGAAACTAAGAGCAACTTAAATGGCTTTAGGAAGCATGAGCTATGATTATATTTCACCCAGTCTTTAGTAGCATCTTAATGATTTGTACTTTCAGGTTTGGTAAATAAAACTTTTGAATGTGAAATCTGTTGGTGCTGGTGGTGTATTACTTACCAAAATCATTTTTACAAAGAGTTTCCATGATGTCGTTGTCATCCTCACTTTTACTCTTGCAGGCTTCACATACCTTCGGAGCTAGAAGTGTGAAAAATAGTCTTTAGTAAGTTTGCTTTAAAAGGGAATAGCAGGTGGCATTTGTAAATAACCCAAAGGGCTTATCCAGACCAGGGCAGCAACTGTCCTAGATGACCCCTGCTTCTGCCTCCTCTATAAAAGTAGGATCACTCATTCCTAAGAAAGTCCCCTTTGCTCCTCATTTTTGGTTGGATAATATGAAAAATGCCCCATATGTTGATAAACAATAACTCCCAAATAAAAAGTTGTGGGCAGAGTGTGCAGGTGTGTGTAACTAGTTCACTTGGACAGGTTGCAACTTTTCAGCTTGTCCTTCCCATCCCTGGGACATATTTGGTCTAATAAAGTTATTCCCAAAGTCTTTCTAAGAAGAAAACACCCGAAACGTCAAAGGGACCCTTGAGAGTTTTGGAAAACGTGGTAACCATAAAATCAGTCCAAAGATCTTTCTCAGCTAGAGGACACCAGGGTAGCTCATTCTAGTCAGCAGAGCTCAGCATCTCAGGGAGCCATGGCTTGGTATTTTGAAGCTTGTGCAGGAAGGGGTGGCTAGTGCTATATTGTCAGGACAATCCACAAAAAAGGATCTTCCCTTACCCAACCAAAATATGGGGGCTGTTTTCCCCCTGGGAAACACCTCTCTAATTATAACAGCTTGCTCTTACTGGTTCTGTCTCACCTTGTGCTTTCTGATTTGTCTGTGCTTGAGTTAGGCAGCATTTATTTCATGGTTATCTATGAGGCTTCCTGGTACAGGTTCTTCTTGCCTTTCTTTGTTTAAAACTCCCCCCAAACAAACCTGTTTCTGAAGCTAGTCAAAGATGAGGCAGACCTGTATGTGGGGTCTGACCAAACCTAGGAATTTTGTGTTTGCATCATTATCAAAAAGTCTAGAAGGATCTTCTAAAACAGTCTTAATTTCTTGAGAAAACATTCTCTTTCTTTCATTTACAAATATGCTAATGCTGTCTTTAAAGTTTAGGTAAAATTTAATTGTCCTAAGGTGGAATGGAATTTTCACAGAAAAAAACTTTATGTGATAGATAATCAAAGAGTTATTTATCAAATCCACCCCCCCCAAAAGAAAATTTTGAAGAGCACAAACTTTTATTTTGAAGTAGGAAAGTAACTTTTTTTTTTTTTTTTTGAGAAATGTACAGTGTATAATGTTGGTACTGATTGATAGTGGGGAAAAACAAAACCAAACAAAACCCAAACCAACCCACAAGAAACTAACTCCCCTCACCAAACCTAAATGAAATATTTCCAATTAGGAGCTCTCAGAATGTATATAAAATGTTACTAACCTGTATTGGTTAGTCTATGGTATATGTTGGACAAATGTTTGAAAAATGCCAAACATTTGCAATAAATTAGAAATCTAACCAATAAGATGATTGCAAACTCATGGTGCCTGCCAGGAAAGATTGCTAAACAACTTTGCATTTTCTTTAACTAATGATGTCTGTAGGAAAACAATTAGACTGAAAGGGAGACACTGCTGAAGTCCTGAAAGGGATTAGGAAGCCCCCTTTCTATCCCAGGGGGACCTAAATCAGCCCAGACACATTGTATACGTTTTCCTTTCAGGAAGAATATCAAGAGCCCATGAGGTTTTCATTGCTTTGATGGTTTTTGCCCAGGAACTCCCCCTCTGTTTTCTAAAAACTTGGGAAACTCGTTTGCATGATTTTCTCCAGTTAATTAAAACCACTCCTAAGATAAAAGCTGATAGTGATAGAAAGATGATTCCTTTTATGCCCTCTTTCTCAAACACCTGGGCAATTAAAACGAAATATTCGATTTCCAGTCAGTCCTGGTTTTCTCTCCAAAACCTAAACTGGCAAAGGACAAAAGGTAGCTTAAAAGGTCATCCATTTGTGCATCTTTGTAATCCTGGCTGTATGGGAAATGATGCTGAGACTAGCACACTGCCCAGAGGTAAGAACGTGAGGAATAAGGGATGGTCAAGGAACCCTGGCTCCCCACCAACCAACTCCTCCACACAAGCCCACTTCGAACGCTCTCAGAAGGACGCCCTAGTGTTATCATCTTCAGCAAGAATTGTATGTCTATAAAGAAAAGCTGCTTTTGTTGTTCTTTGTTTTATTTCTTTTTCTGGTATAATTCGGGGGTGGGGATGTCTCAAATTTGATAGTCTTCTTGCATCATAGGAGAGCAAGGAGAGCGTCTGCCCTTCGCAGGACTGGCACCCTCAGCGTGACAAATCCGGATGCCAGAAGGGGGCTGCGGGATCCCACGGGAGGGTCTTAGCCGTTAGGGGGACGAATTAAGAGGGAAGGCTTACCTTCCTCAGTGGCCGGCAGGAGGTGGTCGCTGCTAGCGAGGGGAATGCAGAGGTCGTTGTCTTGGGGGAAACGATCGCACTCGAGCATGTCGGGCCAGGGGAAGCCGAAGGCGGACATCACTGGAGCGCAGCGATCCTTCACCTGCACACAGAGTGAGTGGCACGGCTGGATGGTCTCGTCTAGGTCGTCGAGGCAGACAGGGGCGAAAAGGGAGCACAGGAACTTTTTGGTGTCCGGGTGGCACTGCTTCATGACCAGTGGGATCCAGGCGCCCGCCTGCTCCAGCACCTCCTTCATGGTCTCATGGCCCAGCAGGTTGGGCAACCGCATGTTCTGGTACTCGATGCCGTGGCACAGCTGCAGGTTGGCCGGGATGGGTTTGCAATTGCTGCGCTTGTAGGAGAAGTCGGGCTGGCCGAAGAGGAAGAGCCCGCGCGCCGAGCCAAGGCAGCAGTGCGAGGCGAGGACGAGCAGCAGCAGCGAACCGGGACCCTGTGGCATGGTGGGCGCGCGACCCCCGCGGGGCGGAGAGAGCCGAGCCGGGGAAGCGCGAGGCAACCGGAGCTCGAGCTCGTCCCGGGTCCGCTGGTTCCGCTAGGCGCGGTTCGTGGGCTTGGAAAACCCGCGCCGGTGGTCCGAGCGCGCGAAGCCGGGAACTGGAAAGACCGCTCCGGCGAGGCGCTGCAAACTCGCGCGCAGCTCCAGGGGGTTCCGACCCGGGGGAGCAGAGTGAGCCGCTGCTGGGGCACAGCCAGAGTTTTCTTGGCCTTTTTTATGCAAATCTGGAGGTGGGGGGGGCAAGGGAGGAGCCAGTGGAGAGTAATCTGAGGAGGGCTGGTCACTATTTTCTTGGTCTGGTTTTCGGTTGAGAATGGCCCTCGTGAGCTCGCTGGAAGTAAATTCTGGCTGTGCCCCATCCCCAGATGCTGCTGCTGCGCGCGCGCTCTACGATTGCTTTAAACAACAAACAGACAAGCCTGGCTGCGTCCCGCAGGGAGCGAGCCATGCGAGGGCTGCGGGAGTTGGGGACAAGCACCTCGCAAAGCGAGCGGCCTCGCAGCCAGGTTCAGGCCTGAACGTACTCCACCGTTCTAGCGGCCCTGGCCGTTGTGCCTTGTGCCGCAGCCCTCAGTTTTTGTTCTTTCTGCGGCATTGCGCCGCGAAACGGAGTCCCAGGGAGCCACCAACCACCAGCTTTCAGGCTCTGTGTGCCCCGGGACCAGAGCCCCAGGCCGCCTCGGCGAATTTCATTTGTTACCAAAACTCCAGCTAAAGTTCAGCAGAGTGGTCCATGTGGCGTGTTTCCCTCTGCTCCTGGAAAAACCATCAGAATTATAAAGTAAGCAAAGCTTTACATGGAAAACGAAATAACAATAAGTACTGGAGTATTTTGTTGGGGCGTTTAATGATCTTGCCATTGTAGAAATGCCTCGCATCTCATCAGCATCACACAAAATTGCCCACCATTTCTCCTTTTCGGAGGCGAGATTTTCCTCATTTAAGTAAATGGGATGAGTCCCAAAAGGGTCCTAGCACAGACCGACCCTTACAGCAGGGGGCTCAGGAGAGTTTCCTGAACACCATCGGGGAAGAATTTCTGCCCAGCACAAGAGACTGGCAGATTGGGAAGAGCAGAATCCTGCCAAGAGACCCGGAAGGGTTAAACGCGACCTTGGCAGCATTGGTTCACTCACTTTACACGCACAGGGTGTACCAAGCTGGGCAGAGGTGAACAAACTCTGCTCACGTGGTTCTGGGGATTTAGAGTCTTTGAGGACTGCAAACCGTAAGTTCACAGCTGCAAACTGGGTACTGGGTGCCAGGCAAGGAAAGTGCGTGCGTGCGTGCGTGCGTGTGTGTGTGTGTGTCTCCCCTCCCCCTCATCGCTCCCAATCCCCCCACCCCCGCCGGGGAAGCGGCTTTCACCTCCCGGGGCTCCTCTTGCTCCTCCTCCCTCACAGTGTGAAGGTGCACAGCCCCAGAGAGCGAGGTTCTTTCATATGTAAGATGGGCGCATTGTTATTACTTTCCGGCCACTGAGAACCGTCCACTGGCTCAGACCTGCCCTATATCCTCCTTCCGGGGGATGCTTTGGCCTTGCAGACTCCCCCAGGCTCTGTAGTCGGACACGCTTTGTGGTCCAGCAGCTTGGAGGAGGGGGTTAAGAAGTGGCGAAAGCACATTCAGAATCATCTCTTATTTATTTCTGGTGGTAAACACATTGGAAAAGCACCAAGCGGTGGGAGCGCACCTTTCGAATTCGGAGAATCAGGATCGTTAAAAGCTCAGCTTTGATCCTTCTGCAGTGACAAGGTTGCTCAGCCCGGGAAAGGCCCAGGGAGGCAGTAAACAGCCGCTCTCTCCCCGACTTTGTCTTAGGCCTCTCGGTTTCTAACTTAAGCACCGAGAGCCTTAAAACCCGCCTCCCCAAACACACACTGCTTTGAATACCCCGTAGGAAACGCAAGACATCGAATCAAACGGCTACTCGGTGCCTGAGCTCGGAGAGATGCTAGGACTTCGGCGGGGGTCGGGGAGGGGTGGGAGCCTTCCCGCCTCGGACGCCCCCGTCCCCAACGCGCTCCTCTGGGGTACCCTCTGCTCCGCAGAGACCCTTGCTGGGGGCTCTAGAAGTCCGAAGACGGTCGGGCTGGTTTGAGCCAGGCTCTGTGGCACACCCGGGAGGTGTGTGTGCCTGGGGCAGAGGGTGGGGCGGACCACGCGCCCGATCGGCCCGGGGCATTGTTTCGGGAGACCGTGCGGCTACTTTACCGCCAGGGGGCGCCGGGAATCGTGCTGGAGTCACCGCTCCCGAGGTTCGCACTGTCCCGTTCCCGCCCGCCTGGCTGTCCCGCCCGCGGCGCCTACCGCAGCTGTCACTGCTTCTCCTTGCATCCAAGCCCCTCAGCCTCTACCCCACCCTGCGCCGGCTGCATCTTACTTCCCTACCTTCCCCACCTCGTGTCGCATTCCCCTCCTTTTGTTTTTTCCTTGTCTGCGACCCGCCAAGCGCGTGTCCTTGTGACAGGCGCGCCGGCAGGACCAGCCGATTGCTAGGCAACCTGGAAATAACCTCCCGCTGAGGCTGGTACCCGAGCGGGGACCTCTGTCTGAGTGAAAAACACAGCACTGGGACAATTGGTGGCAATCGTGGCGTGTCTTCCCAGCTCCGGTCCCTCTGCTACTGCAGCCAGTCACCCTGAGCAGAGTGCCAGTTTAGACATGTGTGCATGTGGTGCTGCTCCACCCGGGCATCTTAGATAACACAGCCCTCTAGTTCACAGGTTTCCTCCGATCCTTGTCATTTATCCAAAGAAGCCAAAGGCTTTTGTTTTGGGATAAAACAACAAACAAAACCCAGCCCCACCCCCCCCCCCCCCCCCCCCCCCCCCCCCCCCTCTTCCCCGCCGATTTAGTGCCTCTTTTAGGAACGGAAATTCTATTCACCACACCCAGTAAGTGGTGATGGGTGTCCACCCCATGGTGATTCCATATACCAAGCCACGCATCCTGTTTAAAGAGCTCTGCTCATGGGTCTCTGGAGGGGTTTTGATTCCCCCTCACCCCAGAGCACACAGCGAATAACATCTCACCCACAGGTTACAGGCCTGAAAAAAAGCCTCCACCAACTGTGTTCTGGATTTGGCCCTGCTTCTCTGCTTGAGTGTTTTCTGTGGCCAGGACACTGAAAATCTTGAGTGACAAAGAAAGGCACCCCACCCCACCAACCCCCCGCCAATCACTGCAGAGCAGTTCAGGCACTTGGTTAAACCTGTGTTGCTGCAAGAGTTTCTGGGCAGGTAGGACCCTCACTCTCAGTCTCTGAGATTCTGTCCTTCACCAGGGCCCAAGCTGGGAGCCTCTCCACCCCAGCATCAGCTCTGCATTCTTTTTTTTTTTTTTTTAAATCTTTATTTGTATGTGGTGCTGAGGATCGAACCCGGGCCGCACGCATGCCAGGCGAGCATGCTACCGCTTTAGCCACATCCCCAGCCCCAGCTCTGCATTCTTGAAGTGCTGGAGAAAGTGACCCTCCCATCCCCACTGGCGAAATAATCTCATGAAAGAGAAAGCGTACAGATGCTTATTTCTTAGGAGTGAAAGCAAGAAGGAGAAAAATACGTGTAATATGCTTTTTCTTAATTCTCCTACTCTAGCACCGGCATCAGAAGGGGAGCTTCAAATTGAAAACTAGTTTCTTAGCCCCCTAATGTCCACACCATAACTTCTTGTTCACTTAGATTGGAAAATTTGGGGTGTTCATGCTCCAGATTAAAATGCACAGCCTCTTGCGATGCGTTAAGGTGTTACCCAGCAATTCCCAAGCCCAGAGTAATTCCGTTACTTGGGGAAAGGACGTGAGCAATGCAGAGAAGAGCAATCCATTGCTAAGACGCTTCACTAACTGTCTGATTGAGGGCCATCCTGCCTGATGACATCCTCACTGCCACCTTTTTATTATCCTTTTGCACATCACTAGTCACGAGGAAACTGAGGCGCCCAGAGATTAATTGAGCCCGGTCACCTAGTAGTTGCTGACCTCATAGGTATTTTGGTGAAATTATGCCTCGGCCGATTTTGGGGTCCCGTCCTGACTATTGGGTGTCTTCAACAGCTTTGTGGCTTGGCTTTCACCCACGCGTCGGTCAGCGGGCGGGCGACGTCTGGTCCTCCTCTTTTGGCCGTCCCTGCTCTGCCTGCAGCCGCGCCACTTTCAGGTTACTACTCTCTGAAGCATCTTTTCTGAGATTCGAAGTAGCCATGTGGGGGCGCCATTTCCCAAACCAGACATTGTCCCTCGAAGATTGCAAGTCGGCTTCTTTCCTGCTATCTTGGCTCTGAGATCCCCCCCCCCCCTTAAAACAAATTGGGCACGAGGATGGCTTTTGGGGGGACTGGGGGGTCATTTTCTTTGTCTTTGGTCCTCCCTTCACTAGGCCTCACTGCCCTTGAGGGAAGCTTCCCGACGTCAGTGCAGAGAGGACAGGTGCCAGCGCTCCGTCGCAGGGCATCTCAGTTGCACTTGGACCCCCTGGTACCCCACAGCTTAGACTAGACCCGGGCCTGCTACGCCCGCCTCGGCCTCTCATTTAAAAAAAGAGTTGAGTCTGAGGACGACCAGTTTGCCAACTCTTAACCCGAGTTCTTGCGCATGTCGCTTTGCTGTAGATTCCAAGGGCTCAAGATCCTTTTGGGAAAACCAGCAAAGGGACCAGGGAGGCCAGTCTCTGCCCGTCCCCAGGCGAGGCCCCTGTCGCCTTTTCGCGGTGGAGTCGCAGACTGGTTGGCTGGGGAGGGGTTCCTCGGGGCCGGGCAGGAGCCGCCCCCCTTCTTCCCGGCCGGGTCACCTTCCCGCGGAGAACGCAGCGCCCGGAGAGCGGTAACGCCCGGTGGGTGTGAGCTCCCTGGTCGGTGTGAAGCAAGCCGGTGTGAAGCCCTTTTTGTCCCAACCACAACGAACTCGCTCATTGAGAAAGACTCTGAAGTCAGCGAATGGAGACTTTGGGAACTCCATAAAAATGGCTAAAAACCAGTCTCCAATATAATAAAAATAATTACTCTAGGATCATTTCCTTGCTCTTCCCCTGGCCACACGGATGATTTAGTGAAAAACTGGGTATGGACAGAGAATAGTATATTGTATATTGTTTTATAATATACTTTTTTTTTTTTTTTTTTCAGAAAAAGGAGAAACATCACGGAGGCAGCCTGGGTTTGGCGCCTTTGCAGGGACCAGTTTCCATTTT